AAGATGAGTATAATAGTCCAAATGATGTAAATAGGGTAAATCAAGTAGTCTGATTATTACCTTCTTTGCTAATAGGATATTCATGGTTAGTTACATGAGATAAATTCATATATTTGCATTGAGTAATAGTAAAATTAGTTAGTTTTATTGTCAACTGAAATTATAACTATCTTTATTAAAACAGTATTTCAGGAAATTAGACTTCTCAAGTCCACCAAATGTTATAGCTCTTTGTAATATTGGTAGGAGTTTCCTTCTGAACTTTTTGATTTTGGTAAATTATATCATTACTAAGGAAAAATTAGGTTATGTGACTGATAAATATATAAAGTTACATTGTTTTTCATGAATTGGTATCAAATACAGATTGGAATCTAACAGAATGATAAGATAAAGAACATGTAGGAAATGTTTATCAATCTAACATGTTTCACTTTTATTAAAGCTTCATCAGTTTTTTTCTCTATATCTTATTCTCTGATGATACTTTAATATGTTAAATTGATAAACGTTTCCTATTTGTTTTTTATCTTATCAGTGTGTTTTATGTCATAGAATAGATTTTTATCTTAATCCTATTTTTATGTTGTATACCATGGAAATATATTGATTCTTAAAAATGTAATTGCTGAGATCATATGTAACTTCATTGAACTTCATATGTAAAATTTCCCAATGTGAATTGCTTAGGTAGGCTACAGCCTAAAATATATATATATATATATATATATATATATATATATACACATACAAAACACAATATGTTACAGAATTTTCGCCCCACCCCAATTTCCATAATTACAAATAAAGCTGTAATACTTCAAATTTTCATGGAAACTTCATGTGCATTTTGTCACAAATAATGAAATAATGGATTTGAAATAATGTGCTTGAAAGATTGATGCCCCCACCAAAACTTATTTTAATGTCAAACAATAATACAAAAAAACACGAAAGAACATTTAACATAGAACAAAATTATTGGCCCTCTTGCCTCAATAGTAAATTGTGTAACCTTTATTCTTGATTATTGACTTTAATCATTTTTGATAGTTCCTTATAAGTTCACTACACACTATATTTTGCTCCATTCTTCCTTGGCAATAACTTCTAGTTCTTCCAATTTCAAATGTGCCCATAGATTTTCAATGGGGTTTAGGTTAAGATTTTTCTATGGGGTATGCCAATACCTTAATTTTGCTGTCATCTAAATATTTTGTGACAATTTGTGCCATTTGTTTTGGGTCATTGACATGTTGGAACATCCAACCCAAAGACAGCTTTTGTGCACTTTGTTTTGTATTATTTTTAAGAATAACCAAATACTGCTCTTTATCCATGATACCGTATACTTTCACTAGTTCTGGTCCAGAAGAAGCAAAACATCCCCAGAGCAGAATGCTCTCAACACTATGCTTAATTGTAGGGAGGGTATTTTCTTGCTTTGTGCACTTAATTCACTTTCCTCCATACATAATGGGAGTTCATATGGCCAAATAATTCTAGTTTGGTTTCATCTGACCATAAAACAGAGTTCCAATATTTACTCCCATGTTCTACATGGTTTCTAGAATAAGCTAATCTGCATTTTAGGTGTTCAGCCTTGAGCAAGAGAGTTTTCCTTGGACAACAGTCTTGAAGTCCTGCCTGATGAAAAGCATCTAATGACAGTTCTTCTTCATACATTCAACCCTTTGCATCATTGATAATGTCCCTTGTTAAATGAGGATTCTTCAAAACATCTTTCCTTTCCATTCTCTCAGAAATTAAACATTTTCTGCCAGTCCTTAATTTATTCTCAACACAATGAGTCTCGTTGTACTTCTAGATAATGCTATGAATTGTTGATATAAGAACATTTAAATGCTTGGAAAGTGTTGTATATCCATCACCTTGTTTGTACACATCATTTATCTTCATTTAGAGCTTCTTGTCAAGTTCAGCCATCTTTGCCATGATTGCAGAATGAATGAGTTATTGCATTATGTGCCATTCACATATTGTCTTCTTCATTATCTTTTAGAATGTTATAGAACCTGGTAAATATTATTTCATTTTTAAAGTGTTTGTATTAAAAGTCAAATTAAGAAAAAAAATCATTACAATTGTCATAGAGCAATATTACTTCATAATTTCCATAAGGTGGGGGATGAATAATTTTGGACTGCACCAATTTTTAGAAAAATCTGTAACTATGAATATAAAAGATCTAAAAATTTCACAAATTATTTAAAACTAAACATGGAATCAACTGTTTATGTTAAATTCAGTAAGTCCTTGTAAATATTGATATTTCTTTAGAAAATATGCACATATTCAGTTGGGGTGAATAATTCTGTCAACTCTCTCTCTCTCTCTCTCTCTCTATATATATATATATATATATATATATATATATATATATATTGTTTATACATAACATGTTGTGGCCTTGTTAGGGCCAGAAATAAAGACACGAGAGGGATTGAGCTAAACAAATATATTAACAGAAACAGTTATACAAACATGAACAAATGAGTGTTACAGCAAGAATGTTTGGTCTGTCAGAGGTGACTGCTGGAAACTTCCCTCTCCAAAAGGCAGTACCTGCTCCTATTTATAGCTGGAAGAGTTCATGTGTACCATTGGCAACCATAATTTTTACATCCTGATTTTAATATTTTTGTATATAAGATTTTTAAATACACCAAATGCTCAAATTTATGTTTCATTTATGTGAATTGTATTGATAATTGATAACATGGTTATACGGCAGTGTAATGGATATTGGCTCAGTATGAGAAATCAGAGAGCTGAGTTCAAATTCCAGTTGGGTTCATTGAATTTTGAAGCTAATTTGACTACAATTAATGGATATGTAATTTGGTCAATGTCATAGCCAGGGCCAGCAGTACATATGCTAATCTTATATCTCGTGTATGATGTGACCACCTTAAAATTAACTTCAAAATGAGGTTTTCAAAAGTCACATGGTACATGAGTATGTATGTTTTTTGTTTTTTTTTTTATTTAATTATTGCAGAAACTTTCTGGTGTATACTAAATGATGTTTTGGTTTCAGGCCTGAGTTGCTAGCCAAATGCACAAAGAGGATTACCTTACAGGGTTAGAGTACTCCAAATAACCTACTATTTATTCATAGCTAAGGACTAGTGAAGCATTTGAGAAAGGCATGAATTCACTACCCTTTAACTTTCTCAAAGAAATTAATTCACTATTCCTTATCTATGAATAAATAGTAGGTTATTTGGGGTACTCTAACCCTGTAAGACAGTCCTCGTGCATTTGGCTTGCACATAGTTTAAATCTGTAGATCTTTCTTAGCAAAGACCATCCTTCAAATTTCATAGATTGGCATTACAGAATCACAAAGAACTGCACCAAATAACAGAAACCACATCACTTTAGGACTTTTAACAACAGCTACAACTAAAATGGCTAACTCAAAGAGAAAATAATGATATAATCAAGATGTCACAGTTCCAAAATTCTTCCGACAAAAGATGGGGAAGGAAGTTCCCATCAATATTGGAAATCACAATAACATTAACTGTACTTGAGAAACCTATTTTAACAAAGATTTTATAAGTTTCAACCAAAAGTAGCACTGGCTGCTCAGTCAATGAATGCTAAAAGTTTCCTTATAAGAAAACAGCTTAAATTATCATTACCATTATCTACGATGTTGTCTATTATGCCACCCATACTTTCTTAAGTGGAGTTTGGTGCAGTCATATTTTTACAGTTGTGCACATAATCTTGCACATACATGCCATCCATTGACCATGAGATGTCAGAATATCCTAAGAACAAATGGCATATAAGATATATTGAAGAATTGAAGCAACACAAGTCATTCAAAATTTAGGAATAGCAGGATATATTAGCGGAAAATTGTTGATGAAGAATATTCATGAAATATGCATACTGAGTTTGAAATAAAATGAAAAAAAAATATGAATAAATCAAAATTTAGGAAACTTTACTGAGGAGGCTTATGATGTCAAATAGAAAAATCCTCTTTATTTTCTTTCTAGACACATTTGTAATCACTTCATAGCAACCAAATACTTTGCTCTGAATCTTCTATGATTATTATTATTATATTTGAATATAATAAAGTTAAATTCTATTTTTCTCTACTGTTTGAATTAATACACAAAGTTCTGCAGAAGCCATTATTGAGCCTTGTTGAACAAGGTAGTGGAAAATTTAGATTTCAACCATAATTCATTTATATCAGATTAGTTTCTATTCTCTCTTTAATAGAGAACATAGATTTTAGTGATCTGAAACAAGTAAGAAGTTTGTATAGCATCAGCATTTCATTGGGATGTAAGATGCCTATTCCAACTTAGATTTAATTTCTGAATAATAATAAAAAAATAAGATATGCTACACCATTACCTTACTCTCCTATCCGTACAAAATGCCTCCTAACATAACTCTCTACCTTGAGTGGCCCCGGGCCTTGTACAGAGTGAACCTTACTGTTAAAAAAAAAAAAAAAAAAAAAGCACAATTTTTCTATTATATTTTGTAGTCAATTGTATCTAAAAAGCTTATTTCAGTATGAACATAGAATAATATTTTTCATGAGATACAGACCATGGTAAAGAATTAATTTTATAATTTACCTAACAGTTTTAATCTAAAATGTATTTTAGGCACAATGAGCTCTTTGAAGCCTTTATTTTCAAATTAATATTTGGCATACTTATATATCATTGATTAGTACTTCTCATCCTTGTGAAGGTCCTTTTTTAAACATAGGTCATCCCTGTATTCATGGGTAATAATGGGCCATTACTCTACCATGCTGGACTAATGTGTGCTGGTAAAGGCAGATATGACACACTTAATGACCATGTAGCTTTTCTTTTCATGATCGGCCAAAGGTATTTGGATAAGTGAATGTAATGAACCCAACTGGAATTTAAACTCTTCTCTCCAATTTCTCATCCTGAGCCATTATTCATTATATCACCTGTACATCCAAGCTTACAGCACTTGATATTCCCAAGCAGTTATCCATCTAGGTACTGACCAGGTTCAATATTGCTTAACTTTGATGATCAGATGAGAACCAGTGTTTCAACATGATATGGTCATAAATTAGTTCTGTTGTCTCCATTTTTGAATAGTATTTCAAGTTTCATAAAGGATTTCATATGGCTAGATGAAGATTTAATTCTTTTGAAATTTGAAGTAATTTCAAAATGCAATGAAGATTGTGAAAATTTTAAACAACATTCTCCAAAAAATCTCCTAGAGGTGAAGAGTGCTTTTGAAAAAGATAGCAACAAATAGTGTTTCTTTTTAATTCTTGATTTGTGTCTGATGTGCAGCTTGAAATGAGAAAGTTGTGAGCAGAGTTAGAATTCCAGTCAACTTTGTTACATCCACTTTTGCACAAATACCCTTGGGAAACAGTACAAATCCATCTTTTTCACTCCATAGTTATAGGTTAAATAGTAGGGTAGACTGGGCTCTTCAGCCTTGGTTGGCAACTAGTCTAGGAAAAGGACAACTGAATTCAAAATGAGTTGGACAACTTGCTATAAAAGCTACTGCAGCAATGCTTAGCATGTTGAGATGTGTCTCCAAGATGAAGATTTGTAGTTTCATGCTTTCACTGACTTTTAAAATAATGCCTTTAGTCATAACAATAAAAACATAAGTATACTGATGTTTTGTCAGTATTTTCAATAATTTTCTTGTGCAGTGAATTTTTTGATGGAATTTTTCATAGTAAAAAAAATTTTCATGTTCTTTCATTGTTAAAAAATTGATAAAATTGTTATAAATATAATTTACTAGCAGTAGAGCCCAGCATTGTCCGGGGATGTAACAGTAAGAGATAGATCAAGTATTGACGATCATAAAGACTGAAAAATAAAATTGACAAAGATTATTGTTTAAGGTTGATGGACCGGCATGTCTTAATTAGTTTTTTTTCTTAGTTTTTTTTTTTTTTTTACGAATTTGTCAAACTCAAACAAAAAGATTGTTTTCAAGCGTTATGAGTCTACCGATTGAATAGAATTTTATTATAAACAATTGTCTTGTAAATGAAATTTTTAAAGCATTCTGAATGTAAAAATAAAGAAAAAAGTGTGCAAGACAATAAGAAACACTACCTGCCAAAAAAAAAAAAAAAGTGAAGTTTTGCTGAAATCTGTTAAAAAATGTAAGAAATCCAATCCCATATATAAATGAACACATACACACAAACAACCTGGGTTTTATAATCAGTAAAACTCGATATGAGTTGTCCCCCTTTCATTCTACAGTGATGCCTCTTAATTGTATTTTCAAATTGATTTTGTGTAAAAACAATTGTTTTTTCAATTTTTGGCGCTGCCAGAACCACCACAAGGTAATTTTATGTAGTCCTGTGAAGTTTTGTTGAAATCGGTTGAAAAATGTAGGAAATCCAATCCAATATATAAACGAACAGACGCACACACACACACAACCTGGGTTTTATAATAAGTATGATTTTATATCCTTTATTGCTCTGCAGTTCAAATCGGGTTTATTCAGCTTTCTTTTTTTTTTTTCTATAAAAGAAATTGAGCAATCTTAAATTTAACCTTGAAACAACAGAATTGAATATTAGTTACAAGCATTTGGAATGATTTTTTGAATTTAGCATCATTTTCTGACTTAGCACAAATGATAAAGACTTATTTAAAAAAATAAAATCTTAAGGAATAATTTAAAAAAAAAAAACAAGAGTATCTTATTATTCACAAAGAAAGAAAAATCTTGCTTTTTAGTTGTAAATTGCTTCAAGTTATTCACTTTAACTTCAAACTTAACATTTAATTCTATCAAAGCCAATAGAATATTGGTTTTTCTTGCTCTAATTTAGTTTTTATCACTTGTAAAATGAAACACTTAAAGAAGTTTTTCATTTATTTTCTTAAATTTTAATTTTACCCCAAGCAAGAAAATAAAGCCATTAAGATATAGGGTGTTACTGAGTGTGAAAGAATATAAGAAATGAAACAACATTATTAAAAAACAAGGACAATAAAACAGGAATTAAGAGAAAAGATAACGATTGACATTGCATTTAAATTTTTGAAGATCTAACTTGACTGAAAAGCAAGAATCCAAGACTTCCATGAGTGAAAGAAGCTGTTAGCATAGAATTTAGTGATATTTAGCCATTTCAACTGTAAAATGATGAGACCTAGCTGTCAATTTAGTACTGCACTTAAATTCATAGTCTAGGTACCATAGAGGAAAGCTCATCAGAACAAAAGGAGAGCTGGTAGTGGGAGGATTTTAAATTTATTTTATAAACCAAGACAACAAAGTAAAAGCAGTTTAGCCATGCATTGTATCTGAAAAGATTCTTACTAATGGTTCCCATGGTTAAAGATTTCTAATCAAGTTTCCTTTTTCCTGATTTTATTATTTTTTTTTTATTGAATATACTTTTACCAAAGACAAAGTATAAGCTGGTCAATCTGAAGTAAAAAGCTTTTATAATAGAACTATACACTACAATGCATGTCAAGAAATGAAACAGAAAGAATGCCATAAAAAAAGAACAAGCCTCAGCTCGGCTGTCAATACAACTCTATTGCCTGTGTTATCTTGGTGAAGATCAAAATCCTCAGGCCGATCAAAAGGAAAAACAAAATCTGTTATGTTTGGGGATTATGCTTGCTATTGAAAAGAGGAACCATTAAAGATAATCAATAATATTACATTTAATGATCAAAGTGATAAAAGATTTTGAAAAAGAAAAAGAAAATTATTAATTTTTTTTCTAATTCCCAATGAAAATTTTCTTTTATATATTCATCAATTTATCTAAAACATTTTCTTTTTATATCTAAAAAGAATTTGAGGCAATCTTAGATTAACTGCATTGTTTTTTTTAAAAGTAATGAAATAGATTTCTTACACTTGATCATTTCCACATTACTTTGTACTCTCAATATGTGCATAAAAATATAAATAAACCTAATGAGTAAGGCGTACGGTTATGATAATAGCAACATTAACTGTTTCCTTATATGACTAAATCATTTTTAGGGGAGGCAGTCTTAATGCTGAAAGTCATTTACCCATGTTATGATATTCCAAGTAGGTACTGCAGCTATATGCAGTCAATATTGGTTCTACAATCCAAGTACCATTGTTACTACCTTGTGTAAGGAACTTATACTAACATCAACTTGTTATATATATGCTAATTAGTGGTAGCACTAACCAACCACTACTACATCTTCCAGAAGTAAATAAGCTTTATGCCCTTAATTGATCTCAAGCTTCTCTGTCTATTTGTATTTTCATTTTGATTTCCTTCTCTCTCTCTCTCTCTCTTTAGTGATCTGTGTGTATTTTTCTCTATGGGAGATCGAGACTTGTCTCAATTGTTGGTGAAATCCTGTTCTCAATTTATTCTTGAACTGTCCAAACTGTTTTAGTCTTCCATTTGACTCCTGATGGTTTATAGGGTCTGAGCCGGACTTATTTCTTAGCTCAGTTTCCATCTCCACTTTTTATTCTTGTCTGGATCTTATATATTCATTGGCCAGAATATTTTTGCCCTTTTTAAATATTAATGCTGTATTATGTCTCTTCTGCACTATAAAATTTACCTTTTTGAGTGCAGATTCTTTATTTTTCTTCTACCATATTTTTTCATTAATGAAATATGATCTGGTTAATAGGGCACTAATCTGTCTCCCCATTAATGCAGACGCACTTTCTAATCTGTCTCCCCATTAATGCAGACGCACTTTCTAATCTGTCTCCCCATTAATGCAGACGCACTTTCTAATCTGTCTCCCCATTAATGCAGACGCACTTTCTAATCTGTCTCCCCATTAAACGCACTTTCTAATCTGTCTCCCCATTAATGCAGACGCACTTTTAATCTGTCTCCCCATTAATGCAGACGCACTTTCTAATCTGTCTCCCCACGCACTTTTAATGTCTCCCCATGCAGACGCACTTTTCTAATCTGTCTCCCCATTAATGCAGACGCACTTTCTAATCTGTCTCCCCATTAATGCAGACGCACTTTCTAATCTGTCTCCCCATTAATGCAGACGCACTTTCTAATCTGTCTCCCCATTAATGCAGACGCACTTTCTAATCTGCACTTTCTAATCTGTCTCCCCCAGACACTTTTAATCTGTCTCCCCATTAATGCAGACGCACTTTCTAATCTGTCTCCCCCATTAATGCAGACGCACTTTCTAATCTGTCTCCCCATTAATGCAGACGCACTTTTCTAATCTGTCTCCCCATTAATGCAGACGCACTTTCTAATCTGTCTCCCCCCATTAATGCAGACGCACTTTCTAATCTGTCTCCCCATTAATGCAGACGCACTTTCTAATCTGTCAGCATGTGGTATAGTTCAGTAATAGTCTTAGTAAGAAATTATCAAATCTCATTAAGGAAAAAATGCTCCCAAACCCATTTTTATAGTCTGCTCTATTTTATTCAACAATTGCAGATGATATGGTGGATTTTTATATGGGATACATCTAATTTTCTTTAACATACTTTCATCACAAAATTCTGGGGCATTATCTGAAACTGTTTTGTTACCCATTCTTAGCAAATATTAACCATGATATTTGCCTTATTGTACTAGTTTTCCTATTGTGAGCACAAACAACTTCAAGCCAACCAGAAAAAAATGTCAATCAAAATAAACTACAACCCCACACCCTTAATATGTGCATGGGCCATATGAACATGAGACCAAGATTTTGTCTCCTTAGGCCATGTGTATACTTTATTCTGGCAAAAAGTTTTATTAGCATGAGGAGACACCTAATATTTTCTGTGTTAATCTTGGCCCTGATGAAATTCCATACTTTGAAATTTGGTACTCCAGATATAATATTATTTACTACAATTAAGTACATATTTATCTTTGTTAATATTCATTCTAGATATCCTTAGTCTATTTAATACCTGGTTGGTGTTTTGTTTCAACTTTTCCTCGTAGGTTGCACACATACATGTATAAACATGAGGTATTATTGTTTTGAAAGATGGCACTTGCTGTTTTCACCCCATGATGCATACAAGTCTATCTAAGCAGTCAAATTGGGGAGTTAATAGTGATG